TATTATATATATAATATATATATATATATATATATATATATATATATATATATATATATATATATATATATAATACCACATTTCCACTTATACGTGTTTCACATCAGTATTGTCATTCTACATCAGGCGATTTATTATACGTGTTACCGTCCATTTTAAGCTTTTTATCCTTGATATCTACAGCACTGTGATAACATGGAGAAAAAGTATTTTAGAAGAAACATATCTTGCTGATCATTTGTAAAACATGCATTTAAAGTGCAGTGCTACAAAAACTGAAAAGTCATAGAGAAAAATTTCTTGACAGAAAATAAAAACACAATGATCTGCGTGACTGGTTTCAAAAAATTTAATACCCACTCTTTACTATTCGCAAATCAGCAGCAATTATTATTGTATTTTGAGAGAAGAAAACGCAGCTTTTATAAGATCACATCAGGACGTACTGAAGTGGTTCGCCGACAAGTGTTACGCTTATTCACCTTTCAGCTCTTTTCGTATGCTCAGCAAAATGAGAACATCGTTCAAGAATTCAAAGAATCTTAATCTAATGTTTAGAAATATGTCAGTTTTAACAGGAAAGTGAAACGATAAAAGTTATATTTAACTTCGTAAAAATTATGCACAAAAAAAAAACTAAATCTTTTTGATATGATCTAAAAAATCCTTGTTTCCTCTGCTAAAGCTCCAAAACACTTCAGTAATAGCAATCTCAAGCCAGTGGCAAGGAAACGAACACGCAAATTCCCAAACACTAGAAATTTTTTGGAGCAAATTCAAAAACTCGCCTTTCCATTCGATGTTTTGCAAAAAAAAAAAAGAAAAAATGACAGAAAAGTTGCAAGGAAACAAAAAATGAAGCTACTTGAAAAATACCAAAAAAAGTTACCTTTATTTAATTTTTGATATGGAAATTCTCTCTCTTTCCCTCTGTATGTTTGTGTATTTCATCCAATAAAGCGAAGTAGTAGATTCCCCACGGAGCTTTTTTTTTTTGGCTGCTAATTGATAATTTAAGCGAAAGAGAAGAAAGAAATTTGGTCTGCCCGGAATTCATAATCTGTGGAATTTGACTAGTTTTACGGCCAAGTATCTCTTTGTTTGTGGTTTATATATATGTTGTTACACTCTTACTGAACTGCACTGCTAACAGTTGACTTGCGCAACCGTGCAAGTCTTCAGTGAAGTGCGTGAATTACAGCGAGATGCACTACCTAACGAAATGGTACCAGAAACAACTACAGTGACTTCTTTTTCTTCACTTCAAAATATAGCAAAGCATTAAAGATGAGCCACTAAGTTCGTTCCTCTTCCCAATTCTTTGACATGAAGTGCAAATCTCAAGCACTATTCCACACACGTCACGAACTTGCACAATTTGCAGCAATTAGTACAGACAGTCCAAGAGTTGCTCTTTTTTCTTTCAAATGCTATCGAAACTGACCTGCGTTAACACTTCCGCAACACGCAACACTGATTGCAAAATGCAGGAAGTAACGCATTACAGCTTTACACGAATGATTTTTTTACGCTGCGCACCACGCATGCAACCACACGACAAAGTAGCCCATGAAGTAGGCACTTGAATTTGCATTGCCTTTTTGTAGGTTTAAAAACTAAGTTTTTTTTAAAACACTAAATTTAAAATGTAACGGCAAGGCAGTGTTTTCGCTGATTGCTTTGTGCATACAGCAGTTACCTGCAAAATATAATCATTTTTGCTTATAAATTGACAAACCTAAGTACACTTAAACCTTAAGCCCAGATAAACCCGAAGGTATAAAACTAAATGTTAACAGAACTACAAAAAACTGTGCTGTTCATGCATCCCTACTTTTCTTACTAAATGTGCGATAAAATGGATTAGCCCAAAAAAAAAGAAAAAAAACGAAAAAGAATAATGGAACCACCTCTTATGTCACTTAAATGCTATGAGTTATACTCATGCACTAATTTTCAATTCTATTAATTTGCAGTTTCAATGAAAGAGATAAGCAACACAAGCTGAAAACTACATGTCCTTACTTCAAGCCACAAAAAGAAGCTTGCTTCCTGGCTTCTATTGCAGTTTTCTTCTTCTGCCCTTATTGGATACCAAGGAAAAAACAAAATTTTAGCATTGCTTACTTCAAATTCTGCCCAGAGACATGCCATTTGGATGCAAACACACGCAATCGCTTTTGCCGTATATCGTACTCCCCAATTTGTCATATGAAGCCTTAAGAAAAAAGAAAGTAATCCCTGGACCTTGAAAAATAAAAATAATAAATAGAATTATCTACCCCGTTCGCTTACTTTCATTCCGCTTTGAAGTGATTCCATATGTACCACTGGGATCAAATTTTATCCCAGTAGCAACGCTGTTGAAGTTCCTCCTTCTTTCGTAACTATTCTCAAAAATTATTACTAAATATCAAAAATATCAAGAAAATTTACATGTCACTCGCAAACCAATAAGCTATTTCCGATATCCTTCTGTTTCCTGAAGCATCTAAAACAACAATTTGTATTATCAATTATAATTCATTATTTTCATGCCATGTGTTTGGCACAAAATCTTTTTTAAATCAGGTGAAGAATTGTACCAGCTTCCAAATTCAATTATAACAACTGATATCAATTATCAATTATAATATCAATTATAACAACTGATCTGTCATATCAATCCGTCGCTAAAGTTTCTAGCAATTGAGAATGCATCGTCCTCTCATCTAGCATGCTCTTATGTTTCTCTAGTCTGCCTGAAACTCTATGCTTCGACAGCGGTTTCCCCATGATTAAATGTCTCCTTTCTACAGTTCGCAGCGAAAAAAAGCAAAATTACGAATTGGAAAACTAAACCTGTACAGCATCATAAAACCAACCTCGTGCAAATTTTTGCATGTGCGTCAGGACGTAAGGATGCGGTATGTCCACTGACAAGTCGAATGCTGCATGAGTAAATGTAGAATTGAGAAAAACTGTGCAATACTATTCTTTCACTTATGCTCATCAAGTTCAAATTGATGTTTTAATGCACTTTTTAATGGCTTGGTTTTCAATTTTCAAAAGCAGAAGCATAATGCCTTCACGTACTTCGACATTTGAGCATGCAAACAACAAAATATAATTGCTTCATTGCTATTCCAACAAAGAGCAAAACTTGCCAATTGTTTGTAGGACGAGATTTTCCAATGTGACAATCAGTTGCGATGCCTCATGAAGACGCTGTAAGATTCTTTAAATAACAAGACTGAGTCTTTCAACATCGATGCAATGCATGTCAAAGACTCTTATATTAAGAAGTAAATCTAATTAACAAGTACCGACACAATCTACAATTCCCATAACTGTGGGAATTTTTTCCATTCACAATACATAAATCCTAGAAAAGATAACGGATTTTTGACCACAGCAACCATTACCGTCATAAATAGTATGCAAACGGAATAATTTCGTGACACCACAGCAGAACCGATTTTTATGTAAGCATAAAGAACAAAAAATACTAACATTACTGTCCTAAGCATAAAGAACAAAAAATACTAACATTACTGTCCAAATTTGGTGAATGAGGAAACTTGATGGCCCACCATACACGTACGACATGATCCAACTTGCGCGGACATTCTTCTGATTTACCTGCCAAAAACAAGCACGCAGCAGCAATGTCCTAGAAAAATTATTCCTACTAATCTCAGCATTACCGTTATGATTTCCATGTCAGCATATCATAGTTTGCAACAGAAAAGAAAGGTAAGCTGTAAACATGACAGTCCGATGTTATGCACAAAAATTTATTTTCGAAAGAAAAAAGACCAAGCGTCCCTTAATCTTACCCGTGGATCAAACTTGAAGAAGGAATGAAAGACGAAGAATCGATGCATGTGCATCATTGCAGCGCAAATACATAGTTGAGATCTGAAATCCAAAAAACTTGCATTTTAATTCTAACACAACTAATGCTAATTATATCTTAAATGTTAATGTATACGCCTTCTGAAACTTGAATAAAACTTTTCGGTCCTTTATTTTGCAAATGATTTGCGCAACAGCTGCGCTTTGCTGGAAAAAATGGTCATAACATGTTCCCACACTTGAGCACTTAAATTCATTCGAAAGCAAACGGTCAAACCACAAGTGTGAAACCTCAACTTTTTCTGATACAGAAATCTCTGATCTCCTGTTTCAGTCGAATTTGTGTATAGGAAACGTGTATAGACTTACATTCGTACTCGAGATTCGTGATTCAGCCTGTCAGCCATCTGGTGGATTGTACTTGCTGATACACGCCTTCTTTTTAATTCCTAAATTTCGAAGTGAATCTGTAGCAAAATCGAATAAATAGTTGGCAAGGATTTTAAGAATGGTACGAAATTCCCACAGCTTCCATTGAATTATCTGTTAGCAAAAAATTATAACTTCATAATATAATATTTCAAAATACTATGTTCTGCGTTAGAAATATTGCAACACCAAATAAGCAAACATCGAAATGTTTCAAAACGTTAGTTAATAAAACACGTCTTCATAAAACACGTAAAAATACAAAAAAGAAAATAGAAAGACTTTACTTCTTCCGGTGACATGCCTTCGCGAATGCTGGGAACCCTCATCAGTTGTTCATAGGTGAAAATCCACCGAGACGAAGATGGTACCGAAGCAGAAGCCGATGCCGCTGCAGCTGACTGACGTTCACCTGATGCCGTCGCTTGTGAAGAACTAATACTTGCTGCTACGCCTACCGCTGACATTGCTGACAATGCACGCTGGAAATTAAAATCATAACTCTGAGACAGCGATGTTTATTCATGAGTATTATATTGACAAGGCATGGAAGTGTTATAGCATGAATTACTAGAAGACCGAACCCATTACTAGAATGTGAATGTAAATTCCTTAGGGTCAACATGTAACAGTCCAGAACAAAGCATCACCAAAGACACTGATAACAAGATAATATTGAAAAATAACGTGTTGATTAACTGAAAAACTACCAAGTGAGAACATGTCGATTATGTTACTAACATAAAAAAATCAATGATACGGAACAACAAGAACTAAGATCAAAAGTTTAGCTGCAATAGAAAGCAAATAACCTAACAATAACGAAAGAACTATGCAGAATTCTAAGGGAAATGGGAGAACATCAGGTAGCGATCGGGATGGAGAATAACAATGCTGTAACTGAGGAAAACAACTCTACTGCGAAGCATCATTTAATATCTCAGTGACTCTCACATCCTGGACAAGAATCGTGAAGTTTCAGAATCGCAACTAATGTCTACTAGGCATGAAAGCAATGATAAGAAAAAAAGTAAAAATAAAAAAGCAAAACACTAACAAAACGACACCAGCATTATAATAATACTAGTAGGAGATAGGCGTCAATATTAAATGTATTATGCTTTTCAAATAGGAATCCAACTAGATATTACCATCCAAGGGAATAGTGTGTTACTGCTGCTGTAAAAACAAAGATAGTACGTTTGTCAAAACAGTGTGTATAAATACAGCCCAAAGTAATCACTAACCTATTTGATGAGAAAAAAAACAACAAAAAAAACAAAAAAAAACACAAAAAAAAATGCCTAATACACCTCATTTACCAAGCATAACATGTCTGAAATCTCATTCCATTTGTTCAGCAAAGCTTTCAAATTACTAGCTAAATATTACTACTGATAAGTCTTATTTGTTAGAAAAATGTTTTCGAAATTAGAAAAAATGCCTCCGAGATCATTATATATCACTTTTAAACCTGATATTAGCCAAATAAATATAATAAATCAAGCAAACACTTTATTTGGCAAAAAACTTAGGCGAGCCACTGTGACGAAAGTGAACAGATATGCTGTTGAATAGCATACTTTTTATAGCATAATTTTATGCAAATTCCCAACCTTCTAAGTATATTAAATATTCCTGATCTATCCCACAATAGGCGCACCAGCACACACAATCATATTTCAAATAATGATTAGTACGTTATTACCAAGCTTTAATGTTTATTTTCTTATACGAATCAGTTTTTGTGAAGATTTTATCTCCACTCACACGATAGATAATCGCTGTCCCAATCGATTCTAGTAATATACGCATTCTTAATTACATAACACATGAATACCAATTTTAACGTGAATACCAAATATACTTTTCAGAAAGATTTAACTTAAGTAAAAATACGAGATCAAATTCGATCAGCTATTTAATATCGTCATGTCTACCATATTAAAAACGGAAGAGTAACTCACATGACAATACGAAATTATATCTGATGCAAATACTGAAAAACGTCAACTTATAATAAAATCAAATAAAATAACAAATAAGACAATATGAGGAAAGGCTAACTTACATGAAAGTAATGAATTGAGATGGCAATACCTCAGAATCACCAGTGATTTTCGCAATACCTCAGAATCACCAGTGATTTTCGCCCAATCAACAACCACAGATATACAGAAAAAAAAAACACTACCGAATTTGTCGCGCACACAAACGCAGACATTCCACGCGCGCGCACGCGGTTTGCTTACCGTATAAGAAGCGATCATGAGCATCACGTGGGAATTCAAATATACGACACGCTATGCAATTCTTTCAGATCAGGATTTCTATTTTCATTTTTCTAAAAAGTTTAACGAAAATTTAAATAGATTAGAAAGCGAAATTTTTTGATTTAAAAGAAAAAGTACAATATTTAATTACTCTAGCAATGATACTAATGGATGAGATTATAGCATACGTGTATATACACGTATATATGTGAGCATTATGTATGATGTATGTGGGCATATATGTATGTATATTTATATAAGTATATATGTATGTACTGGGACAGCTATGTATGTGTATGTATGTATGTGTGTATGTGTGTATATATGTGTGTATATACCGGTATGTGTATGTACACGTATATGTATATATATATGTGTGTGTGTATGTGAATGAGTAAATTTATGTATGTATATATGGGTCTGCATATAGGTAAAAGTATGGGGAGAGGGGTTTGTATAGTTGTAAAAGAGAAGCTAGGATATATTAATAAGTTTCGTTAAAAAAGGGGTAGAGGTTAGAGGTGTGGGAGAGGAGGGAAATAGAACATAGGAGGGATTGAAAAGCAGGGAAAAATGGATGGAATATAAGGGTAGCAGATGATGTTTTTGGAGGTGGTGCTTTTTATTTCTTTAACTTGTAAGTTATATTTGGAGAGGACACTGATGTACAGAGAGGCCTATAAATCTGGAGCATTTCCTTCCCGCCCTCTCATCTCTTCCACTCCCCCGCCTCCTCCTTCTTTTGCCGATAGTATTTAGCCTTAAATTTTATTTCCAACTCGACTCATCTCTTTCTGTTCCACAACCTTTCAATGAATAAAACGAAGATGTAGTCGTATAAGATTTACGGTTTTTTGGATATTATTTTGGGTAATATAGCAAAAAAAAAGCGATTAGTTATGGATTTTCTCGATCAAAGTTGGCAACAAAACGAACAGGAACAATAATAATAGTAATAATAGCAATGTCACCATTGCTATTGCCATTATCTCCATTACTAGCAATACCAGCACCGCCATCACCAACAATACCAACAGTAACAGCAGCAGCAACAACAACAACAACAACAACAACAACAACAACAACAACAACAACAACAACAACAACAACAACA